TTATGTTTTTTTTTTTTTTTTTTTGCAATATATACGGTCGTAATCCGGGCGTATAACCGTAAAGTCTCCCGTACCGTACCGTAAGAGGCTCTGGCAACAGGTTTACGGTTACGGTTACGGGCCGGTTGCTACCCGTAAGTCACCGTAATTCTTACGGTCGTAACCGTATACGGTACGGTGGGGATCCCTACTCATAATACCAGACTTGGAAGTAATCTAATGCGGAATGTGCCCAAACGGGCAAGTCGCCGCTCGCCATGCACGAAGACAAGTGTGCAAGGATGAAGATAGTCATGAATAATTAATCAGCGCACACGGCGTCTCCTCAAGTGCGATGATATCGAAGACCATACCCTCCTCGCCCCAGTGATCGACCCGGCGTAAGATCGGTGCGCGTGCGCGCTCCACAAGCCGAATATGAGTCAGGGGATCCGGCTGATATCGAGGTCAAGGATCAGAAGATGGTGTTCGCGCTGAAAATGCAGGTAAAGGGTTGCCTCGATCGCGGCAAGCAGCCGAGTCGGAGGATTTAGGCGAAGATGAAGGCGGCAGTAGCGATACGGCGGTCGAGGTGGAACTCAGAGACGGAAATGAAGGGCTTCCTGAAGGCGGCTCAGAACAGGAGAGCAAGGGAACCGCGTGGAATTGGATGGATGCCGTTGATTGGGGGCAAGATCCTTGAATTTCGCAGCCAGTTGTGACCGAAAGAGTTGGGTGAATCACTTGATCACATTGGAGCGGTATGGGTCGGTTTTGCTGCGCGTTGGATGTGTTGCGCGGTTTTTCCGAGCCATATCCAGCGTATCGCGACATCTCGACACCTACGCAGCCGAGAGCCGGAAAATGTTTTGGGCCGAGACGAGTGCTGATGTTTGGATTAATTGAACGCCAGAGTACTCTGAGCGTGAAGATTCCCGAGACGGGGAACCCACAATGAACGCTCCCCTGCATAGCAGACAACCGTCATCCGGGGAGTTAATAGACCCGACTCATAGGCGACGAACACCATACAAGACGGAGGAATCTATGCCTGAGGTGGCATAGACCGCGAGAAAGATATTTATAAGACCGTGAGACATGTATGTATCACGCTCCTGCAGATGAGGTGAAGGAGCGAATCGACGGGAAGGGCATGTATCTTTCACGGTTTCGAGCTAACGCGCCAGATTGCGGGGGGCGATTTGGGGGGGGGGGGGGGGGGAAAGGTTACAGAGGACAGTTTGAAGCGCGTTGAAGTGCGAGCTGCGATGGTCTGGGACTTCTGGGAGGATACCATGGAGGAGGATCGAGTTGTAGAGCCTGAGCCGTCGTTCACTCGTACAATGCGCAGAGTCTAGGTACAGTTTGGATTGCCAGAATATGTGTTTCGAGTGAGGCAGCGAATCCGAATGCAACGCTGTGGTTCAGTTTCGCGAGAGGGAAACGTAGAGGACTTCAGACTCCAGAGCCTCTGAGAGCCACGACGAAGTTCGTCAGATTGCCAGCGTGTCAGGCCATAGTGAACAGGGATTGATTCAGCCAGAGCTTTTGAGGAAAGGATGAGACTGAAAAGCACGCAGGAAGAGGTTTCGAGCAGCAAGAGCGCTGCCAGTTTTGGGGATGGACGTAGGAGACTATATGGCTGTTCACGCTTGGCCTTTTTTGCGCCTTTTTTGCGGCCTTTTTGCACCCTTTTTGCACCCTTTTTCATGTTTGGCAGATATTGAGCTATAAAATCCAGGAAAATCACCTTAGTCTTTTTTGAACATTAGAGCCGGTAGGTGACCTTTGAGGAATGATAGGAGCACCCAGACTGCATGAAATGGAGAGAGGGATGCAAAAGGGCGCAAAAAAGGGTGGAAAAAGGGAACCCCGGCCAAGGTGTTCACAGTAGCCCTTTTTCGCACCTTTTTTTTAAAATCATTTCACCCAGAATTGCAGGTAGGACCCCGTTTTTTTTTCGGTTTTCTACCCTTGTTGCACTTCTAATTGAAAAAGGGGAAAAAAAAAACCAGGCAAAAAATGAAGAGAATGGCAAAATGGGCGAAAAAGGGCGTGAAAAAGGGCGCGAAAATACTGTGAACAACCCTAACGACGATGGTGTGGGATACTAATATTGTACAAACTCCTTCCCTTTGCTTCAAGCGACCATCTGGACCCTGCGTCATCCAATCCCTGGCTCATTTCTCCAGCTCGTACTGGCCCGAAATATTTCTCGCTTCCTATTCGTGCATATCGATGGGTTCTGGATCACCAAAACTTCTGCGCTGCTCGTCCTTGGCTCATCCGATGATTCCGATCATCGATGACTGGATTTCGACTGAACTTGAAGCTGTGACAGGACATTTTCTGCAAGTTCTCCGGACCTAGGAGTCCCAATTCCTCTCCCACAACACACTGGGGACGTCTCTTGTGTCTCTATAAATGTTGGTTGTTCAATCATAGTCTATCGAATTAAATGATTCGAGCTCACTGCATTGAGATCATCCGCGGACGCCGAACGAAGCGAAGCCACGTCTCGTTTAAGGCTGGATAAAATTACGGTTACATTCGATTATAATCTATTAGAGAGCTTGCGCAAAAGCCGCACGAGCCGCATGCGGCATTTTTGCATTGCGCAAAGCCGCACGGCAAATTTGAAATGTGAGAGGTGTAAATCAATGTAAGCTTACCTGAGGCAAAGGAGAGGTGCTGTGGGGAGAGGGAACATCCTCGGCATTGCCTCTGCTGCGTGGCAGACATGAGAGTGTGGGAAAAGAAAGTGGAGCTCGAGTGATGCCTTTGTGATGCGTGATAAATGCGGCCTCCCACAGTTGCACATCCAACAAATAGCACTCTCAGGAGTGGACTATGGGATTTAAGGGGCATTGAATGGTATTTAGCAAGACAAGAATTAAAAACAGCAAAGAAAGACCCGCAGCTTTGCGCAATGCACAAAAGCCGCGTGCGGCTCGTGCGGCTTTTGCGCAAGCTCTCTATTATAATCTTAGGATTACGATTAAATATCCTCCCCGTAATATTACAGCCTTAAAATTATAGTTGGTACATTACATTACAGTACCATTATATTACGATATGGGCCTCGTATTTAATCATAATATTAAGCAAGAAGTCGGCTTGAGGATATGTCTTAGCTTGGGCCCGGGCTTGACTGGAAGTGCTTTGAGACACAGTATCAGGTAGAATTAATTGTTAATTACCCAATCTTCACTCACAGGGAACCCTAATAACCTTCTGCGCCCTTAACAGGAGCGAAGTGATGTCCATCACTGAATGATCAATCCATCAAAAAATGTTGAAACTCGTCGTTACTGTCCGCACCCAGATATATGGTGAAGATGATTGCATCCCGACATGCTTAAAGTGCCAGCCATTGAAATTCGATCCTAAACTGCAAACATTTTAGCTGGACCTGTCATTGCGGGCACATCAAGACACCGGGCTCCAACTCTCAAGTAGCTGGTCGGATGCCCAATCTGCTATGACCGCTGCAGCATCTTAACTGTCATGACAAAGGAGCCAATGAACACCAGATTTGAGGCCATGTCACCATCCATTAAATCCGATTATATATGATTAAAATATGGTTACAATACATTATGTTATCGATACCATTAGATATGTGGTGAATCCTTGAAATTATCTTATGATTACAGTACGTTACGGGTTGAGCTCGTATTTAATCATAATGTTCCAGCCCTACATTGATGTGCTAACTGCTCCTCGGCAACAGCGTGCTGGGGAGCTCAAAGGAAGAAAATGTTCCCCAAGGAAGGCCGGTGGAAGGCCAAAGTGAAGGTTTGAAGGAGAACACCTTGGGGCGCCATGATGTACACTGGAGAACGATGACTTGGAAATTTGCCCGGAAGATGCACTATGTGCCAACAACAGGGGTGATCTTCACTGCCTATCTACTGATTTACATGTGGCTTTTATACTACTGAACTAAGCGAGATATACAAGTGTTGAATGAATAATAACAAGGTATAAGCAAGCCCTCTGGACTCTATTTTTAGTGCAACCTTTGCCTTGGCGCCACTTAGACACCTCCTCCTAATGTCTTCTTTGTCATCCCTTACAAATTCTTGGTTATCCTGTCTCCTTAGCGAGCCGCAGTAAGCTTCCCAAGCCAATGAGAGTCCAGCTCTAGCTAATCCAACCCAAAAAGGGTCTGTCTTTCGTCGGCTAGCCTCACTAAAACCCTCCTCTTCATAATTGTCTCCTGCTAAAACCGTAAGCTAACAGCCTCTCTAAGCGAGTGCCAAGCCTACTGGGAGACCTCCATTACTCAGGACATCCTTGAGTTCATCGGGAGATTGAAGGGAAGTTGGTGCCAACATGTCATACACTTCCTAGCGCCAACTTGTACATCCTTCCTCTTCAGCTCTTCCTCCTTCAGGGACCTCGCACCAAGGCATGTGTGTTATTTTTGGTGCCCAATCTTGGTTCAAGGGCTGGCACTAACATGTTGTACACAGCCTGGCGCCAGCTTGTACCATTTATTCTTGGAACTCAAGAGTTGGCGCCCGATTGCTTCAGTAACATTTCCTGGTGCCAACTTGGCTTATTTGCCTGTGTTCCTTTCACAATATCCTGGCTTCAGTTCCAAACCTCGCGCCAATACCTAGTTTTCCTGTTCCTTCCAAAGTCCCTTGATTGCCTAACATCCATATTGACACTGAGCTTGTAGCATTTATTCAATACTCCGTGCGAGGTCAGTCCTATGGCTAGCTGGTGTTTTGTGAAGCCTGGGCCAGTATCCTAAGCCCCCGTGAAGAGTACCACAGATGGCAGCCCAGTCCTCCTTTGTTGGTTATGCTAGTTTGCAATGCTTCTAGAGGCTTAACACTCAGTCCTGGGATTGAACCAGTGCCCTCTAGTCTTACTGGAGTCAAAGTACAAGCCATCTGCTTGTACTTATGCAAAAACAAAGATTTCAGGTGTGCAAGGATGCATGCCTTATCAACGGTTCAATGCGATCCGATCCACTTTTTGTCTTTCATACCCCTCTTTCATGCAACTGTGTGATAGTGTGGTGGTAGCAAGTCCTCCAATAATAGTAGAGTAAAGTGAGCATGTCGGAGGGAAGTCCAGAGTTCAAATCTCTGCCACACCTTTCTTGTGCTATCCACTCCTTTTTATAGTTGAGCTCAGTGATCCATGTGGAGATGACATTCTAATTTTTTCAAAGCATCAATGGTCTGATGGCATAGTGGTAACACGCTCCATCTGCATAAACTGGCGGGAAACTGATAAATGGAGAGATCGGAGTTCAATTCTCTGCTGAGCCATGCTTGGGTTGAGGTAAGATTTTTAAATCGGAGTTGCTGCTTTTCTCCAAGGTGGTCATGCTCCAATATTATGCATGTCTGGTTCAATTCAATGGTTCGATGGCGTAATGGTATCACATCCTGCCTTATCGTTCTTGCACAAGTGCATCAGCAGGAAGTCCAGAGTTCAATTTTCTGTTGAGCCATTCCCATTCCTACACCATGAGCCCAGTGGTGTAATGGTATCACACTCCGTTGATACGCGGCCAAATTGGCCAGCCATGGAAATATGCATTAATGCTATATATGGCACACCTCCAAAGGGCTATCATGGGCTCTGCATGATCAGCTATCAGGCCATATGATGCCAAAGAGCTTTACTCTATCCACTATATCCACTCTTCGAATGATGGTTGAAGTCCTGGGACTTACTTTGGTGTATAAAAGTCTGCCAACTGTAGTACTGTTTGTGCGAAGTACGCGACATGACGCCTCACGTGATCATCGCGGGAGTTCCGGAGGATCGGCAGGTGTCGGAGTTGGCCGGGACATGCTTACTTTTGATGATGACTCATCTCCGAGTTCAACAAAGTAAGCTATAACGAAGTAACCGTGCATCCTGTATGGAAGTTTCGGGTATGTACAGAAAGCTATGGATAACTCAACCTGTGAAACAGGGGAAAGTGCTACGGCTTTAACCCAGGAGCCTGCTTGACATTCAGGAGCAGGCCCCAACCAATGGCATAATTACCCGATCGCACCTGACTCATTATTCAGCCTGTTAGGAATTATATAGACCCAAGATCGCTTAGTAATAGATTAACACTTTTAGTATATATAGCCAGCCATTTGTAGTGTTCCGCAGTGAATGTCGGCCAGAGGGCTGTGAGTGAGTGCCTCCTAACAAGAGGCACTTAGTCATAGTCTGATGGCTGGAGTGCACTCTAGTGGGACTTTGGTTCACAACTTTATATCTGTTTGATGGATTATGGTTGGGACTAAGTTGTTTGAGTGCAAACCGGAAGTCACAACCCTGGTTAGTGTGTGAGGCAACCACCATTGTCCCTCTCCACGTTTTAAAGGTTCAGCTGAAGACAACTGTGTGGGTCTTCCTGATGAAGGTCCTGAGTACAATTGAGTGGGTCTTGTCGAAGGTCCTGAGTACGGAACTATGGGACTTGTGTCCAAAAACCTGAACTTCGATTCAAACAACTTGCCAGCCCACCAGCCGTTACTTGTGTCTTACAGTTGAGAAGCTATAAATTGAACCCAACGTGTTACTCAGTCTCATTGTTGACCTGTCACCTGGTCAATTCATGATTGAAGTGTTACTCCTGTCTGGAGAGTTCCTCTTCAGAGTTACTTCCTGCAGTACAAAATCAACCAAGTCGTCTCGGCTTTGGTCTCCTTTATACCTATACTTGAGTCTAAAAAGACTCTAGCTCGCCAGGACCAACTAGAGGGGCAGTAAAAGAAGGTGTTTGGTGTTCAAAGTTCAATTATTTGAGTAGTTGGAGTGTTGGCCATCTCGTTGCTTCGATTTGGTTCAATTTGCAGTCACTCAATGGTTGGGTTTGGTCCATCTTGCACTCTGCAGCCCTAGACCCTGAGCAACCGTTTCACCGTATTCTTGGTTGGGTCTGGGTATGCCATTTCACGGAGGGTTCAGAGTTCGATTCATCATTGGCCTTTAGCTTTTTGTCTTTTGTCGCTGGCTGGAGTTCAGACTTTTGAACAGACCTGATGGCATAGTGGGATTGCACTCTGTATCTTTGCCTTGGTATGCTGTTTTATGGAGGGAGCGGAGTTTGATCCTCTGCCAGGCTTTTTGCATTTTGTATATGTCGGAGTTTCGCCGCTTTTGAGCCTCTGTTGGGAGCTATCATAAGGTGATGGCGAGCATCGCCCTGTGGTTTGTCAAGTATCTGGTCAAAGTCCGGTTCCACAGACTCAACATTATCACTCCACAGACTGGTCAGTCCAGTGCTATAGGACACAACTAGTCCACCACTGTTTGTCTACGCTTTTAATATTTAATCTCCTTGGTATGGTATCTAACCAACAGGGTAAGCCATATCCTGGAAATACAGGAACAACTCTGTTTGTGCATGTACACACTCTGCAGAGTGCTATGCTGACCCTCAATGGTAACAGGACCGAGTCTTAGCATGCCCACATAGACTCGTGACCAGTCTGCCTATGAGGAGCAAAAAAATGAGGCGAGCTCTTTGCCGTAGGCAGACTGGTACAACTCGGAACAAACAATCGACCTGGGCCCGGAGGTTGAAATTTTCGGTGGTGCTGATCACACCGATCACCGGGGCTCGGTCCGATAGGGAGTTTATCAATCAAACTGAGGTCGACGCTGTGGCCCCTGGAGCTTATACATTAAAATTCTGAAGAGACAGAAGTCAGGATATAACTCCTACAATGAAGTCCTCAACTTTGAGAAAATGATAATAATCAAATTTGAGGCCAGGGCATGGGTCACAAGAAAAATTCAAACTCTGGGCTCAGCCCAATTGATTGTTCCGAGGTGTACCAGTCTGCCCACGGCAAAGTGCTTGCCACACTTTTTGCCATTCGTAGGCAGACTGGTAACGAGTCTAATGCCCACAACTGGATAATGCTCTGTCATCATCAATACACAGCTAACAGCTTGAAGCTCACTCTAACTCATTGTATAGCACTGGGCAGGGGCTCCATGGAATGGTAATAAACCGCAAAAATGAATGATTTTGCAGCTGGTTGTACCCAGGCTGTATCAGTGAGCCACAAATATTTATTGTTGGGGAGTACATCATATGAGCCTGGCGAGTATTGAGAGGTTTACACTGGTGTGAGGACTTGGATAGTAACTCCCAGTCCCTGAGATAGCCTTTCCCGATAAAGCTGGAGACCTCTCGGACAAGAATATCTTCGTCCGAGTGTTGATTTGGTCTCCCAGCAAGCCAGGCAGAATATATGCAAAGGCTTCGAGATAAGGAGCTAGGGGGATGCTAGATGGGACTCAGAAGTCCCAGAGAATAGATCAAATGCAGATGTAACACGGATGGCAGCGGATAAGGTAGTTACTGCCGACAGCTGCTGAAAGCTTAACTGTTTGCTAGCATACAATTGAAGTCACTAATAGTGGAAAACCAGTACACTTAAGAGCACCTGCAGGCCTAGTACACTGGTTTGCCATTAAGAGGGCGAAACAATGGACGATAGGTTGTAGGGTGGTTAAGGTGTAAAGGATGCATGTATTGATCTCAACATGTGGTCATAAGGACAGGATTACATCATGGGTCATGTGGTTAGACATGTTGAGAGAAAAGAGAAAAATAGAGGTAAATAGGAGTTAGTTGAAGAGTAACCAGAAAAGGAAATATAATGGTATGTGGCCCTTACAACCACAACAGTTGAGGTCATGTGACTAAACACAACATTCAGGATCAGAATACAACAGCAAGCAGTTCAGTTTCTCTGTGTTACTGAATGCCCTGGAGCTCATAGGGGATCAGGGTGTCCTTTATTACACCTATAACAGGTATATACTCTGTTTGGACCCACATGGATGAGTTCCTGTTACATGATGCACCCCCAGAGGTAGAAATCCTCTGATTTCATGAAACCCTGGTGAAAGGTCCTGCATTACCTACTCACAGGAGCTTATAGCCAGCTCCATCAATGTAGGATGCATTCAGCTCACCTTCAAGTCAGTTTCTGGCCCAGAATCTGACAATGCCATGTGTAGGATTGAGAGTAACCCAAACAGGCATGTGGTCAGGTGATCCAACAGTGGTTCGGACAAAATAAAATGTCTGTAAGGTCCTCAGAAAAATGTTTTCTTGTTCAACCACAAAAGAAAAATGATGGTAAAAAAGAGAGGGTTGCATGTCCTCAGCAAAGTTGATGAATAGGTGAAATCTGTTGAAAAAACACTGGAAATGCCAGGAAATATGCTGGATTAATAGAAGTGCAAACCGACCACCATATGTACAGTACAAAACAACAGCATGTCAAATAAATAAGTTCAATATCATAGCACAACTGTGCTTGAACCAAAGGCTGGATGTGGGTATCATACCTGGCTGCAAGTAGCTATAGGACAGTAGACAAAGGGGCGAGAGAAAGGGAGAATTTGGGTAAGTATCTTTGTATGTCAACTGAGGCAGATTGAGGAAGATAGAAGTAGGGGATGGGCCATGTTGGAACACATTTGCATTATGTAGTAAGGTTGCAAGGGGGTGGAGGGGTATGAATGGGATATAATTCTGATGGATATAGATCTCAGCATCACCAGGCTGAAAGAAAAACTGCATCTGCTTCATCCACACCCACAGTCTCCACCTCTTCAGCCATGGACGGACCGACATTAATTAGCCCAAGGTCTAACTTGTCTGGACTAGCAGTCAGGGCATTTAGTTCAGAGACAGATCACGGTCTCCACAGGCCTAGGAAGGAGCTCACAGCTGATTCCAGCAAGCCTCTCATCAATATCCATCATTTGCTTTCCCTGTGATGACTGTTCAAACAATGGACGTGCGGTTTTCCAAAGTTCCCCTGCCTTCATGGAATCCCCTTGCAGTTTCAAAAGGTCTCCAATGCGAAGCATGCATTCTGCTCTGCTGCGGTGAACATCCATCCAGGTAAATCCTTTGAGGGCAACAACCCACAGACTCATTGCTGTCTGCTGGTCACCATGTGCCAGGTATATATCTCCCAGAAATTGGAGAGCTTTGTGAATCTGCAGTTTTTGTCTGAGCTTGAGGCTATGAGCCAGAAATGTAACTGTTGCATTATATGAAACATGATCTGTCGCGGTCCAGAGGCAGACATCCCCTAGTCTCTCTAAACAGTAGCTGATGGCCTCAATATCTTTTCCCCAAACACATGCAAGACTCTGTCGGAATTGGCAGCACGCTGTAAGAAAGTCTCCCTCTTTCACATCCATGGCAGCTTTGACCATATCACAGTAGATGATTCCCGTTGAGTCCACCATGCTGGTAAAGAGCTGGTGAGCTGTAGCAAGATTTTTGTGCAATTCATAACTCAAGCCACCAATTTCGACATCAATCAGTGCAATATTGAGTAGAGCCATGGCATGCTCATATGGATTTTCTGCAGTGGTGCAGTGGTGTATTATTTGAGTCTGGATCTTACGTGCCTCGAGATATTCAGATTTTAACAGGTGAACTTCTGCTTTGGAGTTCATAATCTG